GGGGGGGGGAGAAGAAAAGAAAAAAAAGGACTGTCCCTTTAAGAAAACATGTTTAGAGGCTTTTTAGCCACATCAGGCTCCCACCAGCTGACACCATCTTTAATACTGCATCTTTAATGGCCACACTGGATGGCTCCCCTGCCCTTGGTAAGCACAGGGAGCCAGGCAGAGAGGGCCATTTTCAGGGGTTTGGGGGCAGCTTTATGAGCTGGGGGGAGAGGAGGAAGGGGCTTCGTGAGCCGCACCCTAGGGGGGGAAGAGCCACATGTGGCTCCGGATTCAGGAAGAAAAGACAAGGGAGAAAAGGAGGAGGGATTGTACTGTATGGAAGAGAGCAGTATGATTGCTCAGAGCTCCAGAGTATGGAGGGAGAAAAGCCTGTTGAGTATCTATGGGTTAAGTTTAGAGGCAGGAGCAATAGGGGTGATATTGTGGTTGGTGTCTGCTATAGATCACCAAATCAGGTGGATGAGGTAGATGAGGCTTTCTTCAGCCAACTAAGAGAAGCTTCCAGATCACAGGCCCTGGGTCTCACGGGCATCTCTAACTACCCTGACATCTGTTGGGAGACCAATACAGCAGTACTCAGAAAATCCAGGAAGTTTTTGGAGAATGTTGGGGATAACTTCCTGGTACAAATGATGAAGGAACTGACCTCGGGTCATGTGCAGTTTGACCTGCAGCTCACAAACCGCGAGGAACTAGTAGGAGAAGTATATGTGGATGGCAACCTGGGAAGCAATGATCATGAGATGGTAGATTTCAGGATCCTGACCAAAGGAAGAAAGAAAAACAGCCAAAATACACACCCTGGACTTCAGAAAAACAGACTTTGACTCCCTCAGAGAACTGATGGGAAAGATCCCCTGCAACACTAACATGAAGAGGAAAGGAGTCCAGAAGAGCTGGCTGTATTTTAAAGAAGCCTGCCTCTGTCTTCACAGACAAGGTCAGCTCCCAGACTACTATCCTAGGCAATGCGGTATGGGAAGGAGTTGGGCAGCCCTAAGTGGAGAAAGAACAGGTTAAGAACCAGTGCTTTTTTGTGATGGTACTGCCCAATATGCTGTACCGGCACCTCCAGTCAGAGCTTACCTGGAAAGAACAGAGAGTATCAGCACCTCTGTAATGAAAATGGCCAACAGTCAGCTGGATCTTAAAGAGTACTGGCACTTTTTTTTTAAAACAAAAAAAGCACTGTTAAGAACTATTTAGAAAAGCTAAACATACACAAATCCATCGGTCTGGATTTAATGCATCCGAGCATACTGAGGGAGTTGGCAAATGTCATTGCAGAGCCTTTGGCCATTGTCTTTGAAAACTCATGGAGATCAGGAGAGATCAGAGAGATTCCGGATAATTGGAAAAAGGCAAATATAGTGCCCATCTTTAAGAACAGTAAAAAGGACAATCCAGGGAAGTACAGAGCAGTCAGCCTTACCAGTAACTGGCTCTGTGGACATGGGGAAGTCAATGGATGTGATATACCTTGACTTTAGCAAAGCTTTGTATTGTCTCCTCTCCCACAATATTCTTGCCAGCAAGTTTAGGAAATATGGATTGGATAAACGGACTGCAAGGTAGATAAAAAGCTGGCTAGACTGTTAGGCCCAACGAGTAGTGATCAATGGCTCAATGTCTGGTTGGCGGTCGGTTTAAAGTGGAGTTCCCCAAGGATTGGTTCCAGGACTGATTTTATTCAACATATTCATTAATGACCTGTATGTGCGGATGGATTGCACCCTCAGCAAGTTTGCGGATGACACTAAGCTAGGGGGAGAGAGAGATACATTGGAGGGCAGGGATAAGGTTCAGAGTGACCTAAACAGGTTAGAAGATTGAGCCAAAAGAAATCTGATGAGGTTCAACAAGGACAAGTGCAGAGTCCTACACTTGGGGATGGAAGAATTCAAAGCATTGTTACAGGCTGGGGACTGACTGTTTGATAGCAGTTCAGCAGAAAAGAACCTGGGGATTACAGTGGATGAGAAGCTGGATATGAGTCAATAGTGTGCCCTTGTAGCCAAGAAGGTGAATGGCATATTAGGGTGCATTTGGAGGAGCATTGCCAACAGATCTAGAGAAGTGGTTATTCCCCTTTACTCGGCACTAGTGAGACCACATCTGGAGTATTGCCTCTCCCCCTACAGAAAGGATGTGGATGCATTGGAGAGGGTCCAGCAGAGAGCAACCAAAATTAGAGGGCTGGAGCACTTGACCTATGAGGAGAGACTGAGGGATTTGGGCTTATGTAGTCTGCAGAAGAGAAGAGTGAGGGGGGATTGGATAGCAGCCTTCAACTTTCTGAAGGGAGGTTCCAAAGAGGATGAAGAAAGGCTGTTCTCAGTGGTGACAGATGGCAAAACAAGGAGCAATGGTCTCATGTTACAATGGGGGAGCTCTAAGTAGGATATTAGGGAAAACTATTTCACTAGGAGGGTGGTGAAGTGCTAGAATGGGTTACTTAGGGCGGTGGTTGAATGTCCATCCCTACAGGTTTTTAAGTCTTGGCTTGACAAAGCCTTGATTGGGATGATTTAGTTGGGGTTGGTCCTGTTTTGGGTAGGGGGCTGGACTTGATGACCTCCTATGGACCTGAGGATCAGAGGCTTTATCTTTAATAATTTATTTTTCATAATGTGTGGGTTTAGAGTGCTCACCTGTATCACTTTGCACCTTTTCTGCTCATCCATTTTCATCTGTGGATGGCCAAAACCTCCATTCACTGTAACTTAGTTTGTCACACAGCAAACTGCTCCATCCTGAGTAGGTTTAAATAATAAGGCCAATTAGGTATCAGAAGTATGAATGCCATAGTGCATTATGGGCAACTAGAAGCACTTCAGTGGAACCTCTCTAGTCTGGCACCTTCGGGACCTGACCTGTGCCGAACCAGAGAATTTGCAAAACCATAGGAGTCAATATTGTCTAGTAGCATTATCAATCCTTCCATTGCTTAATGGGCTCTCTGAAGACATTCAGGGGCAAATTAGAGATAAAGGCACAGAAGACTGAGAACTAGGAAGGACTGGTGGCTGTAAACAAACTTTATGGGACCATGGGAAACTTGGCCACATCCATGATAAGTGGACATCTGTCTAACTAAAATTATGCCAGACCATGGATGTTGCTGGACCAGAGAAGAAGAGAGGCAGAAGAGTTTTATGAATGGCTCTGACTTCTGGATATCTATTGTTCTCATGGCCTGAGTCCTTTTCCTGTTCCCAGGTCACTCTGCCCCATGGGCAGTTGGTAAAGGCACAGCTGGGGAAGGCAATCCCCCAGCCTCACCTCCAGCCCTGCCCTTTCTTCTGAGGCCCCACATCTTTCCCACCCCCACAGGGCAGTGGGGCAGTGTGCCATGTGTGCACTTCCCCTCCCAACCATGGGTAGTGGAGACTAGTAGGCAGGAGTCCACTTGCCACAGGTTCCCCAGCCTTGGGGAGGGAACAGGGCTCACAGCATGGCCCCAGCATCCCCAGGCCCAGAGGAGGGTGCACTGCGCTGCACAGCCCAGCTCAGCCTCTCCAGCCCTGGAGTACTGGGGGAGGAAGGAGGGCACTTCACGTGGTGCGGCCTCTCCAGCCCTGGAAGAGGGCAGAGGGCATGTTGGATGGCCCTGGCCTCCGCAGCCCTGAAGAGGGCTGAGCCACATGGCCTGGCCCAGCCCTGCCTCTCCAGCCCCAGAGCATGGGGAGGGTGGGCGCTGTGGGTAGCAACACTCCACTCCAGAACCCCTACTGCAGGCATTCTTGGGGTGTAGTGTGGGCCGGGCTATGCCTGATAGATACCCATGCTTTGAACTGAATTTACCATCTCTCTGTCAGCATAACTAATCTAGCTAGGTACTTAGAACCAGCACTGAGTTCCTTACTGCAGTGTAATTTGAAACCTATTTTGCCCTTCACTTGGTGAAGTGCTACATAAAATAACACGCTGAGTTAGGCCAGCCACATAGAATATGGAGTTACTTTGTGGGAATGTCTACACTTAGCGGGTATGTCTACACTTTAGCAGTGCTAAATTTGAAAGAATTTATGCAACTTGAGCTATGCTAATTGCACAGCTTATGTCAAAATAGCTTATTTCGAATATGGGCACGTCTTCACAACACTTATTTTGAAATTAAGCACTCTTCCTCTGACTTCCCTTAAACATCAAACAATGAGGGTTACAAGAGTCAGAGTAAGAAGTCCTGCAGCTCAATATTATTTCAACATTATGTCGAAATAACTGCTTGTATATAGACAAAGACTATATTATTTTGAAATGTCAGTTATTCCACAATAATGCTGCTGTGTAGACGTACCCTTGGTGAGCGCTGCTGATTCTCCAGGCTGCTGATTCCCCATCTACACAGCAACATTATTTCAGAATAACTGATTATGTGCCTTTATTTTGAAATAATGTCAAGCTGGATGACTTCTTACTTTGACTCATGGTAACCCTCATTTCAAGACAAGGAAGGGAAGTCGAAGGAAGAATGTTCTTCCTTTGGCCTCCTGCAGGGTAGACAGTGCCAAAAGCCAAATTATACTACAGTAAACTTCTGATAATCCAGCACCTTTAGGACCTACGGGGTGCCGGATTATCAAATATGCCAGACTATCGGAAAGGGGGGCTATGAAGGGTCTGAGGTGGAGTGGGGGGGATGTGCCCCTCGGTGCTGTGGGACCAACCCGGCAGCACCCCAGCTGCTCTGCCCCAGGCATCCCCATGTCAGCCGCTGCTGAAACTGACCAGCAACTGACTTCAGGAAGCCCAGGGCATAGCAGCTGGGGTGCTCTGCCCCGGGCTTCCTGGAGTCAGCCGCTGGGCAGTTTCAGCAGCGGCTGGGTTGGGGCAGT